GGTTACATGCCTTGCTTGGAATTATTGCAGCAAGTACTATGAAGCAGTACAGTTGAATTCCAAATAAAAATGTTTAAGTAGCCTGTACTTACCACTCCCACACTCTAAGACTTTTATCGTCTGATGTGCTGACGAACCGACGATTCTCATCAACAAAGGTGATGGTGTTGACGGCTCCCAGGTGACGGTCATACTCCTGAACCACCTCCTTCGTTCTGATGTCCCACTGTCAAACATCAGAGACAGAGAAGAGGTAAATACATTCATCTCTGACAAGTGAAGACAATGTAACTTGATGATGATCGGCAGTCAGTCGAAACTGACCCCAGGCAAGAAACACATTGCATGAATTTCTGTCCAAACTGATTTGATATCTTCTTCTATTCAAGCTCTTTTTCAAAACCTTACTCCTCAAATGACCAAAGGAGCCACAATCTGTTCTCAAAACCCAAATGAGAGCTGCATTATTTACTGACTGTTGTACCAGATATTATGATAATGACTGCATTTGGGACATGCAAACATTTTCCACAAAAACTTTAAGTAAAATAAAAAAAGTTCCAATTATGGATTGTGGAAAATGAAATTATATAATTATTTGGTCTCTGGTTGTTGCTGCTGAAGAAGTGTTCATCGTCTTCTCAGTTCTGAAAACTGTCTAGTTGATGATGGTTTTACATGACTGTTACGAGTTTCTTACTTTTATCAGATTGTTCTGTAGTTTTTACGTCTTTTTCACCATGATGCTGCATGAGATTAAAGACCTGCACTAGTCCAGAGAGCTTGTGAACTTCTACGAGGCATGCACACACAAACACACAACTACCCACATGAGCACTGGCAGGTATGATGTGTATTACTTGCTACTATGAGCAATGGGGGTATACAAAGAAATTCCTGTGTATACCTGTACAGCTGGGGAATACGGGGGGAGAGGGTGGGAGCTCCAGGAAATGCCAACTCTACCTGAACAATCTTCTTGTCCGACATGCCGGCCACAAAAAGGTTCTGCTTCTCCTCATCCGGGTTGAACTTAACGCAGTACGGGACCTTTCTGTTGGTGAAGGGGGCGATACACTGACCTGCGGAGGGAAGCAAATTGAACATCAACACTCCAGAATAATCCACAGTGGCTTTTCAGAAAGGTAAACTTGAGTTGTTTATAAGTCTGCAGCCGTCCCTACAGACAGAAACAGCTCAGGCGTAGGCAATGTGTTCATTCAGCACAGATGAATCACCCTGGGGCTGATGCTACCACCACTGTGGAAATTACAATGACTACACATCAATGCTACAGGTCCCCCTGTTAACTTTTCCCTCTGCTCATCCACCTTTGTATCCATTTTATGTGGAGCTGCAGGAAATAATTAACTCTTAACTAAAGTACTTGGAAAAAATGTCGATACACGGAATCCTGTTATCGACAAGTGGGGGATTTAACTCTTTTCTGCCCTCTGCTGGACAGGCACTATTGGGTTGAGAGGGGCGGATAGATATGGGTGATCAGAGGGGAGACACAACAGGGATCTGATCAAGGAGATCACTTGTAATTTATAGAACTTAAAGTTTAAAATTTCAACATCATCAAGTACTCAATTCAAATGTCCGCCTTTTACAGTTGTAGTATGTCTTTTTTATTTGTGTTTCTTCTCAATGTATTTTTCAGGTCTGTGTGATCATTTAGTAATGAATCTGAAGATTGATTTATGAATTGGCTATTGCGTGCGTGTTTGCGTATGTGAGATATTCAAGTGGTGCACATCTGTGATCAGCTTACCTGTTTCAGTGTCCCACAGTTTCAGGTAGCGGTCATAGGCAGCGCTGAGGAACTGGGTCCCACTGTTGTTGAAGCAAATGTCTCGTACTGCTTTGCTGTGGCCTAACACACACAGGAAATTCACACAAATATTACAAACAAATACATACATATTTTCCAGAGAAAATTCAATTCATATCTCCTCCAGGTGCCTTCCTTTGATACCCAATTAATTTGAAGGACGTGAAATCTGGTTTCGGGAAAGAAAGGCTGTTGAGGGAGAAAGATGAAGAGGGCTTTTCCACCTTCTTTTATTCTCTTCCTTATCCCAGTATACGTAGCCTTTTGGCTTTTTCTCAAACAGCGAGGGAGATGTGAGGTCCCAGTGGGCTCGGTGCTCACAGATGCTCCCCCTTGTTAAAGCTGGCTTTTTATCAGGATTGCACTGCTTCCCCAGATATAACAGGGCCCACTGAGGCTAAGTGTCTGCCTGCTCACTGGCTCTAAACCCTCCTCGCTGACAGACCAAGCCAACGCTGCCGCCACAGATAACTTTGATGGTGTGTGAGTGTGTGTGTATGCAGTAATACACAGATTAACATTGTCAAATATACTGTTTGTCTCTGATCTAAACATACATGAAAATTAACACGCAATGAAATGCATACTCATTCGAATACGTTTACTGTTTCCACTGTTTGGTGACTCTGACAAGTGCTGTTCAAAGCATCGGAAGATAATGGGCATTACAATACATTTACTAGAGGTGAATTAAATTAAGGAAATTAAAGCATACTTTCTGGTAAAAAATTTAAAATCCTCCAAATTAATGAAATAAAACTGAAATGGCACTAAGCGAAGTACATACCTCTGCCAAGGACCAACAGTCCACCTTGAAAACATATCTATCAAAATATCTGTCCTCTAAACATGTCAGGTTTTTGTTTTCATCAAGATTTGTGGATTATTCAATTATTCAAAATTTTACGAAAATAGTAAATTCAAAAAACATCACATCCACCCCTTGATCAGGATCTACACCAATATGAAGTGGATTCTTCCGTGACCCATCTTTCCACCAAGTTTTCAGTTAATCCATTACATAGTTTTTGTGAAATCCTGCTAACAAACATACGCAGACGAAAATAACATCCTCAGAGCAGAGACGAGCACAGAACAGTGTGTTCTCCATAACGTATCTTTGCACTTCTAATGCATCTCTGACGGAAAAACGTATTAACATCATCAGCTGCATCTCTGCCGCTTCCCCTACACACAACAACACAAGCATCTCGAGTCAGGCTATTCACGCCCAAATCGCTTTCTCTCTTCCTGTACACCGGTTCCCCTCTGTGTCTTGTGCTCTCCCCTGCCCCTCGCTCCCCTCGGCCTCTGGGCTGCTGAATTATGCATATTCTGTGAAGGAGCTGACAAGCAGAACCATGGCTGCAAACAATCTCTATTCTGACAGGGTGCTGTCTCTTGAAGAGTGTAAGGGTGAACTGCATGCATTAGCCGAAACACACCAGACCCCACAAGAAAAAAAATCCTACGCTTTCTGTCAACGGTCATCAGACGTATCATTAGCATTAAAGTAATGCTGAGCTCAGTCTGTAGCTGCTTTGCATTTCCCAAAAGGCAGTTTGCTTTCAACACCTCCAGCAGATTTCATGTTTGCTAATCATGTGCTGTTGTATATAAAAGATTATACTTTGCTTTCACAGTAGAATGTCACCATTTTATTCAGCTATTTAGCAAAAATAGAATTATAACCGGAGATCTTTGCTTACTCACCAATAAACGTCCGTATACACCTCCTCTCGCCGTACACTTCCCACAGCTGTGGAGAGAAGGAGGTAAAACTGAAAATAGATTCGACAACACTGTGCCCAACACATTAATTCATTGTTGTCACCAGAGCAAGTGCAAGCTAGCCAACCAAAAGGGCTTTGTTTTTATATTTAATTTGATCAATTGCAGACTCTACAAAGCACCACCACAAGCTGTTTTCTACAATGTAGTTTGTAGATTACAATAGATCAAGGTGATAGTAGATATTAGCTTTTAATCTTTTTCAAAAGAAGCACAATGTGAGAAAACGTTACAGCTTATATACTGACATTGTTATCAGCCATATCAAAACACACGTATTACATATATATTCATACGCTTCTGTGGAGTTTTTGAAATGACAGAATTTACCTTGATCTTACAGTCCATGGAGGAGGAGAGCAGAAGATGGCCAGAGCTGGGAAATAGTCGGATCGCACTGACTCCCTGGGAAATAGAATATATTCAGAGATTTAATCATACAAGTCTCTTTATCATGAGTATGCTAGTCACAACTACAGGCACTGACCCCATCAGCCCTGCACATTTTCAAAAATGAATTTAGCACAAAATATTGTTTGCACACAGAACTGAAATTCAGCTCAGTTTTCTACTTAAAATCCTGTGTATGTTTACACTATTAACATTATTTGGACATGGCCCAGACAACTGCTATTAAAGCAGTTTGAAAGAGAGACATCGACTGAGTCGTAATGAAACCAGGGCATATAGAGAGTGTTTACCGACCACTCTGCCTCTGTAATAGTCACAAAAATGATGATGACTCTTCAAGTAGCAAAACTTTCTCAAAAAATACCACACAAAACTTGTTGACACTGGATGGGCGGGATCCATACTATCTCAACATCAGCATTTCCACTTAGCCTTTCAAACTCTTTGTATTTCAAATTAAACGCTGAGGGCTGTAGCTTCCTGCATGAAGCTGATAGGAGCCAATTTAAAACTTGAGTGATTTCTCTCTCCCTGAAGCACACTGGCAGATCGGAGACATAAATCAGATCTTTCTTGGAATACCCCAGAGTTTGCCTTTAAATTTGAAATATAAGACAGTGTTTTGAATGAGACTGATTAATATCTGATATGTCTGCGACAATCTGTGCGTATCATTTTATTCAGAAGTACCCAGGTTTTTATGGACATGGAAAAACAAAAGAACTGCATATTAGAATTTCCTCTCATAGACACCGATGTGGCACAATTCTTATTTTGCATGTCAAAATCATTAGAGCTATTAGAACTATTAGTATTGGAGCTTATCAGCAATGCCTGTGTAGAGAATATTTACAGCTGCAAGATTTTATAACTGGTAGATATTGGAACATTCACAAAGACAAACAAATGATTGGGCCTGACCTTGGTGTGCCCAGACCAGACATGAATCTGTTTCTTAGGCAGATAACACTTGTCTGGAACTTCTGCAGAACGCAGGTTGATGCCCACATCCTGTGGAATGTGGAGGTAGGACCTGCCCTGGTAATCGTACATGTCTTTAACTGTAGGAAGAACAAAAGAAGACAAAACATTTTAACACTCTGTCATAATTAAAGATGAGATGAAGTGGTTGAAAACAATTCAATTTTTGCTCTGTTTATACTTAAATCACAAAACAAAATAGAATTTCCAATTTAACATAAATAGATTGGATACTGGATCATTTCACTGAGTACCATAGCCACTTAAATGTCTAAATTAAAGAGGGCAACAGTACCATGGAGAATAGTCTTCTCCTCTGCTGGAGCATCTTCCTCATTCTTTCCCTTCTTCTGTCTCTTTGCCAAGATTTCATCCAGCTCTTTCTTCTCTTCCTGTAAAATAAAATGTATCATAACCAAGGTTACAAACAATCATTTACGTTCTTGGATCCAAACACAAAAAATTATAAAATTAAAGTGCATGTGTATGCCTTGGAGCAAAGGGAAGAACTTGATTGTGTGAAAAGGATCAGTCTCAGCAACAATATATAGGTATAAAAATACCTCTGATGGTTTGGCCAAATCCTTCTCATCAGCATATTTTGCCCAGGGTCCAAGGAAGTTGTCAATCTCTCCTGCTTCTCCACCTTTGACCTTTTTCCTTTTCTCAGATTTTTTATGTCCACTCTCAAACACAGTTAACCCTTCAGAAAGAGCAAAAGAAATTATAATTACGATGTTCCTTTAAAAATATTTAATTCAAAGTATAGTTTTAATTATGGAGCCAGATGAACAAATAGCTTTTAATCATTACCTTTATTTTTCTCAGCATCATCTACTGCACCAATGTAGCTACTTGTGGATACATGGTGTGTGTCAACAGAGGGATCTAAAGCATAACCTATTAGCAAAGTGGAGAGAGTTATAAAAAGTTCATTAAAATTCAAAGAGGGTCCATATATCAATCACATCAATTAAACCAATGACAGAGGTCGGAGATGGGCTTCTTACCAAAGGTGGAGAATGTCCTCCTTTGCTGTTCAAACATGAAGTCGTTGAGGTGAGCAGGTTCTGCAAAGCCAGACAACATGTTCCTGGGGGCAGCCATCTGCTGACTTTTGAACGGATTCATCGGTCCAAACTATGAGAAACAATACAAAAAAATATATATTGTGCTAAACTTTTTTGGAACCATAACTTTCAGGGACCTTCTGTTTGATTCAAAACTAAACAACTGACTTGCTGATTTATGTGAAAGTAATTAAATGGATTAATAATTATCAAAACAGATAGAGCTCTTAATTAGACCCAATGGGAAATTGTGGCAAAACAACAGCAAAACAATTTATGAAAGAAAAGCAATAGAGACACTGAAGGACATAGGTGGGAATGAAATGTAATAACAGCCACAAATAATCTTATTAGCGCTGGTTCATATATGCACAAAATATAAAAGCACAACATTGAGCTAATACTTCAGTACTAAAACAATTTGAAGACATCAACAAGTACGCACATCTATGCATATAATAATAATAATAATAAAACTGCACATTTCTTTTCCCAGAAATCACTTCTTGCTCTTTAACAGCACTAGCCTTGAAATACCACTTGCAAGTACTGTTTAGATATTTCCTGCTGTAAAGTCTCACGAGTAAAATGATGACACATACCATATGCAGGACTTTGAGGGGTGGCTCTAGTGTTGCTAATTACAACACCAACAATTCATTCTCTGTATGCATTTGCTTTTAGAATGGTTTTACCTGAGCCAAGTTATGCAACACTGATGTATACTAACATGTTCATACAGGGATGATAGTTGATAGCTGATATTTAAAGTTCAGATATCGGAGTCAGTATCACAAAGGAAAGAAATTGCATCTGAACATCTCTTATCATGTATTCAAACCAATAAGATACAACATGCATTCTGTGTAATCATTACACCTCATATCTTAATACCGCAGCTAATGTCTTTGTTATTTGGTTGAGCTCAGCAATACATTACCTCTGGTGCAAACATGGTTTCATATGTCGGGTTGTAGGTGACTTCTTTCAGCGAAGGGTCCAGATGTATGCCAGTCTCCACACACTCCTGACAAGAAGAAATGCTATCAGTAAACTTTGTGATTTAAAAGCAGTATCAGATTGATCGGTGTTGAATGGAAGAGCAAAAACTCATCACAGAGGCAGTGTTGATAATATACTGTTATTCTTTCCAAACGATGAGCAACTTATTGTTTGATATCGATTTACATGCTAACACACAACATCCTCACTAGCTCCAAGCTTAGTGTTTCCCGCTACAACTTAGATTTGATTTACAACTTATATCGCAACTCGGTAAATCAATACTCAGGTATTTATCTGATTCACTGAAAAAGTACGCTTACAATATTCAAGCAAAATGCGACCAAGAGTTAACTATTTCACTATAATGTTAGCTAACGTTAGCTAGCTACGTTAGCTTACCTTCACGGCGACCTCCGGAGCGGAATTGAGAAGAGCCAAAGTCATGGTGGGTTCCGACTGAAGAGGCTTGAGATGAGCCGTGGCGTCCGGGTTGACTGGGTCAACTTTCCCAGCATCGGTTTTTGATTCCGACTCATTCTCAGAGTCCGAATCGCTGCCGTACGAAACGAGGGAAGTTATGGCGGCAGACATGTTGGATGTTGTGAATTCAACGGAAGCGGAAAGGCGGGACTTCCGTTATGGGTTAAAAAAATAAAATGAAGAAAATAATATTGAATTCAAACGATTTGGCTAAACAACCGTATTAGGCCCAAATTATAAATTACAAAATATAATCTATTTACTTTGTTTCTATTTTATTTGAGTGGCATTTTGTTGACCTTACAACAGCAACATTAGGTTATAGATAGATAGATAGATAGATAGATAGATAGATAGATAGATAGATAGATAGATAGATAGAT